ATGGATACAAACATTTAAAGACACCCATTACAAAGCAGACCATCTTCCTTAACGTTTGCAATGATTAAGAAGAACAATTAATTCTGGAAACTGTGTATTCGAGTCATCTGTTGAATAATGAAAATAATTAATAATAACTAGAGGTTCTTATATAGCGCTTATTCAGAACCTAGTCCGTAGGTCGTCTCAAATCGGTTTACAAATTATTATCCGTTGTTATAGGGCCTTTGCAACCAGTCAATACCATTCTCAACTCCCTGGGGAGCATACAGCCGGAGCTGCCATTTCGGCGCTAACAGCTAGCATTCAACAATTCTAGCACTGCCAAACCACATTCTCATTTATAGCTGAGCAGACTGGAACAAGCGGAGTAAAGGATACAACACAGTGCCGTTCCGTGACTCAAACCCACAACCCTTCGATCACGAGCCTGGCGTCCTACCACTAGACTACTGTGCCTCCATGAAAGATTTTCAGCTCACCTGGCCCAAAGGCCAGGGCCAAGTGAGCTAATGCCGTGGTGTGGCGTCCTTTGTCAATATTTTACTTTAAACAACTTCTTCTTAATAACCACAAGCCATAGGGTGATGATATTTGGCCTGAAGCAAACTGGGATGAAGGGCTACTAAGTTTGTTCATGGTCACAGGGTTCAAATATGTTAAAATCTTTAAATGGCTTCTTCTGTTTTACCGAAAATCCCAGGGTGATGATATCTGGCCAGTACCATGCTAGGATGAAGGGCTACCAAATTTGTTTAAATGAATAACCTTGACCAGTTTTCGAGGTCACAGGGGTCAAATATGTTTAAAGTTCTTTAAACAACTTCTTCTGAATAAATAAAAGGCCCAGGTTGATGATATCTAGCCAGCAGCATGCTGGGATGAAGAGCTACCAAGTTTGTTCAAACGAATGACCTTCACTATTATTCAAGGTCACAGGGGTCAAATATATTAAAATCTTTAAAGGACTTCTACTGAATAACCAAAAGGACCAGGATGATGATATCTGGCCAATAGTATACTAGCATGAAGAGCTACCAAGTTTGTTTAAATGAATGACCTTGATCTGTTTTTGAGGTCACGGGGGTCAAACATGTTTAAAAATCTTTAAACAACTTCTTTTAAATAACTAAAATGCATAGGGTGAAATTTGGCCTGATGCAAACTGGGATGAAGGGCTACCTACCAAGTTTGTTCAAATGAATGACCTTCACTCATATTCAAGGTCAAAGGGGTCAATTGTCTTTGAAAACCTTTAAACAACTTCTTCTGAATAACCGAAAGGCTTAGGGTGATGATATGTTGCCACTATCATGCTGGGATGAAGGGCTACCAAGTTTGTTCAAATGAATGGCCTTCATCCATATTCATGGTCTCAGGGGTCAAATATGTTAAATCTTTAGATGGCTTCATCTGAATAACCAATATGCCCAGGGCTGTGATATTTGGCCAGGAGCATGCTATGATAAAGGGCTACCAACTTTGTTCAAACGAATGACATTCACTCTTATTCAAGGTCACAGGGGTTAAATATGTTAAAATCTTTACACGACTTTTCCGGAAGAATCAAAAGGACCAGGATGATGATATATGACCAGTAGTATACTAGGATAAAGGGCTACCAAGTTTGTTGAAATGAATGACCTTGAGATGTTTCTATGTCACTGGGGTCAAATATGTATAAAATATTTAAGCGGCTTCTTCTGATTTACCAAAAATCCAAGGATGATGATATCTGGCCAAATTTTTCACGGGGGTCAAATATGTTTAACAATATTTAAACAACTTGTTCTGAATAACCAAAATGCCCAGGGTGAAGATATTTGGCCAGTAGCATGCTAGGATGAAGAGCTACCAAATTTGTTCAAACGAATGACCTTGACCTGTTTTCCAGGTCAAAGGGGTCAAATATGTTTAAAATCTTTAAACAACTTCTCCTGAATAACTAAAAGGCCCAGGGTGATGATATCTAGCCAGTAGTATGCTGGGATGAAGGGCTACAAAGTTTGTAAAAAACTTTTAACCTCTGAATAAGAGTGCGGCCCAGAATGATGATATTTTGCTATTAGCATGCATGGATGAAGAGCTACTAGGTTTGTAAAAATGAATTACTTTGACTTATATTCAAGGTTACAAGGATGGCTCAAATATGTTTTTAAAATTTTAAATGGCTTCTTCTGAATAACCAAAAGTCCCAGGATGATGATATCTGGCCAATACCATGCCTGGATGAAGGGCTACCAAACTTGTTCAAATGAATGACCTTCACTCATATTCAAGGTTACGGTAGTCAAATTTGTTTAAAATCTTTAAACGACTTCTGAATAACTTTGAGGCCCGGGTTATTGATATTTGGATGAAGGACTATCAAGTCATTTGAATGACCCTGACCTACTTTCAAGGTCACATTTGGTCAGATATGTAAATGACCTAATCTTATTAAACAAAAGGTCTAGAGTGGTGAAATTTGGCAAGTTGCATGCTGAAATGAAAGGCTTTAAAGTTTGTTCAACGTAATGATAATAATAATTATAATTTGAGGTTCTTATATACTGCTTAATCACATGACCTAGTTTGTAGGTCATCTCAAAGCAGTTCACAAATTATTATCCATGGTTATAGGGCCTTTGCAACCAGCCAATATATTTCTAAACTCCCTCGGGAGCATACAGTCGGTGCTGCCATTGCGATGCTCCCAGCTATCATTCAACAATTCTAGCACTGCCTAACCACATACTCATTTACAGCTGAGTAGACTGGAACAAGCGGAGTAAAGTAATTTACTCAAAAATACTACACAGTGCAATGCTGTGACTTGAACCCGCAACCCTTTAGTCATGAGCCTGGCGTCCTACCACTAGACTACCGTGCCTCCTAACGTAATGACCTTGTTCGAAAATTAATGTCACAGGGGTCAAATTATTTAAAATCTTTAAACAGGCTGTTTTGAAGGACTTATAGGTTACAAGTGTGAGATTGTTAACAGGTGAGCAATGCAGGCCCATTGGGCCTCTTGTTTTAATTTTATTAAAAAGATCTGTTTTCTTCTTTTGTCCTTTGGGCCAGGTGAGCTAAAAATATGATCAACTAAATGACACAGATACCTTTTTTTAATTATAAGTAACAGAAATTACATTTATTTTCAAAGTCAAATAGAGTCAGTCTAACATAAAACTTGTTATTATGCTGGGCTACATTCGTGTATCCGGTTGAATCGATTGAACCTGTAAAGAAAACGACAGGCACAGATCTGAACTGAGGCTGACCTCAGGAAAATCCGGCAAGTGGAGATTGAGGGGTCCAGACGTACCTGACCGAAACTAAAATGCTGACTATTGCTAGTTTGCATTATTTCTTTCTAAAACAATGTCAAGTCACATGTAGTTTTTAAGAAACTTTCTTTAATTTAGTGGACGCCTGAGAGAAGGGCATAATATTCTTGATACATTGTTTTTTATTCTCCAAAACTGTGCATTTTTAGCTCTGCTTAAAGAACGGTCCAAGAGCGTTCGTTTATTGTGGAATATTTCTGTGCCACACATACTGTTCCAATCGGGATACGCTAATGTAGCCCTAATGATTTCGAGCTTAGTTTGAATTAAAACATCCATACATCTGCAGCATTACAAATTTAATGATCTCAAGTTTTGGGCGGTAAAAGTGATGATAGAAATTGAGTATGATAATCAGATCAATGTTGACTGTCGGTAGAATTCCCTGTCAAAACAGGAGAAACAGGAGGTTGCTGTTTTGATGCTTGAAGCTGGGAGACTCTCGGTCATATCAGGAGACATCACATGTACATGTATGATCATTTTCTATTGACGGATGTTACAGGCTTTTCCTATAGAACTTACCCAGCAGTTAGATAGTTAGATTATCATCCCTGGTTTGATTGAGCCTTACCAATTGGAGGGCCATGGGTAACCAAGATTATCATCCCTGGTTTGATGGAGCCTTACCAATTGGAGGGCCATGGGTAACCAAGATTATCATTTCTGGTTTGATTGAGCCTTACCAATTGGAGGGCCATGGGTAACCAAGATTATCATCCCTGGTTTGATTGAGCCTTACCAATTGAAGGGCCATGTGTAACCAAGATTATCATTTCTGGTATGATGGAGCCTTACCAATTGGAGGGCCATGGGTAACCAAGATTATCATTTCTGGTTTGATGGAGCCTTACCAATTGGAGGGCCAAGGGTAACCAAGATTATCATCCCTGGTTTGATTGAGCCTTACCAATTGGAGGGCCATGGGTAACCAAGATTATCATCCCTGGTTTGATGGAGCCTTGCCAATGGGAGGGCCATGGGTAACCAAGATTATCATCCCTGGTTTGATTGAGCCTTACCAATTGGAGGGCCATGGGTAACCAAGATTATCATCCCTTGTTTGATTGAGCTTTACCAATTGGAGGCCATGGGTAACCAAGATTATCATCCCTGGTTTGTTGGAGCCGTGCCAATGGGAGGGCCATGGGTAACCACGATGATCATCCCTTGTTTGATTGAGCTTTACCAATTATCATTTCTGGTTTGATGGAGCCTTACCAATTGGGGGGCCATGGGTAACCAAGACTATCATCCCTGGTTTGATGGTGCCTTACCAATTGGAGGGCCGTGGGTAACCAAGATTATCATGCCTTGTTTGATTGAGCTTTACCAATTGGAGGCCATGGGTAACCAAGATTAGCATCCCTGGTTTGATGGAGCCTTACCAATTGGAGGGCCATGGGTAACCAAGACTAGCATCCCTGGTTTGATGGAGCCTTACCAATTGGAGGGCCATGGGTAACCAAGACTAGCATCCCTGGTTTGATGGACCCTTACCAATTGGAGGGCCATGGGTACCCAAGATTATCATCCCTGGTGGGATTGAGCCGTACCAATAGGAGGGCCATGGGTAACCAAGACTAGCATCCCTGGTTTGATGGACCCTTACCAATTGGAGGGCCATGGGTAACCAAGATTATCATCCCTGGTGTGATTGAGCCTTACCAATAGGAGGGCCATGGGTAACCAAGATGTCTGTATCTGAAGGAATCATATTCCACTTATCCAGAAGCATTTGTCCACGTGGCAAATTGAATCCCCAACCTCCAAATGCTGGCTGCCTTAGGAAATAGAAATACAGTTTAGTCATCAATGGCCTTGACTGATGTATAAAGTTAAAATATGACCACAACCAAAACTAGTTTAAATTCTCAATATTCAATATATGCAATAGTTTTTCCCAAATATTTTGTTTTTCAAACCCAAATCCCAAACAGTAAACATACATTCTTAAGTTATCCTGCAAAAGACCACCATCTTTCTTGAAAGGAGACAATAATTCTCAAAACAAAGGGCGACAACAACTCTCAAAACAAAGGGCGACAACAACTCTCAAAACAAAGGGCGACAACAACTTTCAAGTCACTGAAAGATACAGAAATATAATTAAACACAAATTAAATGGGCTTACTAAAGATTATTGCCCAAAGTGTTTATATCTATAATCAAAACACAATCTGGCTATACAATATTACATTTTTTAAGAATTACCATGGAGATCCATATACGTTGATTCCATGAATGTTGACAGAGGCGTCTTCAAGGTAAACACAATTGGTCATCAGCTCCTTGACATCAGCCAACTTATTCTCGATCATGTAAGCCTCAAAGTTTTCTTCTGTCACACCGAACCTGAAGGTCATGTCTTCTCGTTCATTTTTCAACATATCTTGATCAAATGTCAAGTCATGGTTTCCTGCTATAACGACCTTGACCTTGTGGGGTAATGTACCTAGAAGCAACAGGAACGATTTCATCCTTAGAGATTTTGTATGGTAAAGGTTAACTTCAACTGGTTTTGGTTTTATTTTGTTAAGTTTCTTTTAACGGCTGTGGTCATTTGTATGTATTTGTGTAATGTATGTGTGCTTAGAGGCAGAGTTAGTTTGTGTATTTGCCTCCTTACGATAATGCAGATCTGACACTGAATTTATAGTGCTACCTCACTGGAAGACACCCAGCATTACATTCCACCTGGTCACATTATACTGACAACAGGTTAAGCAATTGTTGCTATTACCCAAAATGCTGCATGTTAAGCAAAAAAAAACAACTACTATTTTGACTTTGGTAGGTCTTGGCCTGGTGACAGAACCAATTGCCTTCCTCACTTGGGGAAACAAGGAAGATGTTAGGAAACAAAGGTTGTTAGGAAGTAGAGAGAAAAATCTGAAAATCCCAAACGATGCAATGGGTGCAGCAGATTGATCACTTTGTGTCCCCAACTGGCCAAGTATAAATAAGTAAAGGGCGCAATAGTAAATCCCTAATTAATTCTGCAGGGGATTCTTACATTAACTTCTTCTTACAACAAGCAGTCGATAATAGCAGGTGTATGTTTCCTGACTTACAGGGCTAACTTTGAATGGCGCAGAGATCAAATAATGGCCCTAAATTCTGACCAATATTACGTAAGTCTTACTTCAAATTCAGCAATCTTACCCAGATATTTATTGAATTTGTCGATGTCTTTGGGCAGTCCCAACATAGTGAAATCCCCTGCATGTATGAGAACATCACCTGGCGGTACCTTTAATACATTATTCTCTATACGACTGTGTGTGTCAGAAAGACACACAAATCGGAGATGACCCTCTGGTATGGGAGAGTCGGGGTCATCTACAAGACGCTTCTTGATGACTTTCTGTTGTTGCTTCATAGACTTCCATGCTTTGATTGGTAGATCAGTCTGTGGATTGACTTGGATGATAGCCGCTTGATTTGCTGCAAATTTAGCCATGCTCTGATCTGTTAAATGAATACATGAAATTACAAGTTGATGACGTGCTTTTATAAGACATAATATCACAAAAAAAATCTATAACGTCAAAATGATATAGTCAATATTTCTTCATTCTATTTTCACAGGGATAACAGTGAATTTATTCAGTAATTTTTTAAACCTGTTTTTTTCCTTAGCTTATTTGTCTAAATTATTTTAATTTTTTGCAAATTTGACTCAAGGTAAAGTTTGACTGCAAACTAAGATATTCAGTCAAACAACGAAACAGGATACGAAAAAGAGGACATGTCACAAAATCCCTGAAGCTTAACTTACATGTAATTGTTATCTTCTTGACCAGTTTTATTAGTATTGTTAAAGACCTAAAATATCTATGTATCCAGTTCCCCTTATTACCCTAAATTTGTGTGCCTAGATATTTGCATGCAAGTTTGAATAAGTTCTGGTACTGTTAACATTAAAGTCATTATTATGAATATAAATGTAGGCCATTCTATGAAAAAATATCAAAATCAAAAAGATACGTATGTGCCTATCCTATTTAAAGCAGTTATCAGAAACATAATCCAAGTTTCATCTGGCCCAGACACTAGACTTAGACGCTATGTCTGGTTTGGTGCGAGACATATGTATCTGTCAAAATGTCTCAGCCTGGTGTCAGGGCAAGAGGAAACTCAGGCTACCAGAAACACTGGTATCATTTCGTTAGGTTTAATGGAGAACATTATAGATCTATACCTTTGCGGACAGCAACTATCAAGAGCTCTTTCAAAATGGGTTTGGAAATAAAACAGATATTCCTACATTTTCTACATGTTTCCCAGTGTCGAATCGCCGACCCAACTCTCAGTTGGATACCTAATACCGCTGAGCTAAAGGTAACTTCTCTAGCCGAAGCCAGTAAGTCTTCTTTGACACTTTTTCATTGCATAACTCTTACTAGTACTAATATTAATACCGGCCTCCTCTGACGACACAATATTAATACCTGGCCTCCTCTGACGACACAGTATATATAAACAATCTATTAATACCGGCCTCCTCTGACGACACAATATATATAAACAATCTATTAATACCGGCCTCCTCTGACGACACAATATATATAAACAATCTATTATTACCGGCCTCCTCTGACGGCACAATATATATAAACAATCTGTTACTATACCGGCCTCCTCTGACGACGTCGTCTGAAAGATACGTTAACGTTATGGCAGCTTATAACTCTTACTCACACGTACAACTTATTGATTTGATGGGGTCTCCTTCAACATGATTGGTAGTTCTGATTTAGTCTTAACACCTCACCAAAAGGTACAACAAGAGCACATGCAGGTACTAACGTAACTTCTGTAACAGTTTTATATACCACGCGTATATTTGACGTGAGCAGTACCACAGATAGCAATCTTATAGTTATTCAGTGCTAGTTCTGATAATCAGTAACTGAACCAGTTTTAGAGGTTTAACACGGCGAAATACTTTTGACAAGTGCCGTGAGACAGTCTCTGTAAAATTGTCCCCGCATAATATTATGTATGGTAAACACTTAACAGGGAGACCACAGATATAAATTGATAAATTGAACCGTGCCCCTTACCGGGTAAGTTATACTGTAATGTATCAGAATCAGGAGTATGGTAGAGACCTATAATTACGTATAAACCTGGCCAAAATCTTGACAGTTGCTTCCCCATGGGCCCAAGGTTGCGTACGCATCTCTAGCCTAATAAATCTGCCCTTCTTATCATGATAAATCACGCAATACTTGAAACCTGGAAATAGCTGTGACTCAGTTTGTTTACAACACTAGACTCGTATACGCGTTTGTTTGGAAGACACCGTAACTAAAAGCGTCTTAATGACAAGGTGAAACGCAATAGTATAAAAGTTACAACAGAATCAAGTACAATAAATCCGGATATTACTCTTGTCAAGTCTTGGACTGTCAAAGTAGCATCAACTTGCAATTGCAGCCTGATGACTTTTATAACTCCCATACTTCGTAACTATTCCCTTTCACTATCTTTTATCTTTTCTTCTCTACGCTAGCACCCACTATAACATGACATGATCTTCAATGAAGTAGATGAAGGTGGTCATTAAGTATGTAGATAGATAGATAGTAGATGGACACTTTCTATTTCAGCTGAAGTTGTACGCGCTATCCGATAATACCACACTCGCATACAGGATTAACATTAGGGAACATTTGATTTATCACAAAATATATAAAACACGTTACACAAAGTGTTTTTATTGAAATTGTCATGGTGGATAAAAGCGATTTCTACAATCTTTTTAAGCAAACCGCGCACATAATTTATGAAAAATTTAAGAAATTAAGCAAGCTTTTATTAATCATTGATATTTACTGATTCAGAATGAGATAATACTGCTTTCAGAATGAGGTAAGATAACATTTATTTAAAGTCGGCTAGTCGAGGGATAACAATAAAACATAAACTCTAATGAGATTAAGACCGACATGATTAACAACTGGGGAGATCGGGGCAAATTCGCCCCTTTTTTTAAAGTCCATTTTGGGAAGTATGGCAGCACGTCCGTTTTTTGACATTATTTAATGTTCCCTGTCGGATGATTGGATGGCCGAAAGAACCCCGCCATGGGATAAGTTCGGACAGGCATTCGAGTAAATTCGTCCCCATTGGAATCGGTTTAATTATGACGTTATAAACCATGCAACGTCAGATTTTACCGCCAATTTTACGACTTTTTATGTGTTACATGGGCCGAACTTGCCACGATATCATTGGCCGAAACTGTCCGGGCCCAAATTGATATTTCAATATATTCTTATCGTACAGCAATATGGTAGTGAGTGCCTGGCTTGGCTTTTATGTATATCATTTGAAGCTGTCAATGTGTTACACGCTTGACCGTAAAAAAATAGCAATTCCGTTTACAGAAAATTCGCATAACTAGAAGCGAGATCATGATTTTGTTTCTACCCTCTCAAAAGTAAATTTCTCCTGTTTAGTAATTTTAAATTAGAGTTTTCCTCGCCATTTTTTCGTGAGAATGCCTAGCCAACTAGCCAACTAAACTGCTAAGATATTTAAAGTTGTAAATATTAGCTAAAAAACAAAAATATCAGGGGTGGCCGAACTTGTCAGGGTCTCCCGTATGTGATTTTACGCGGGTTTTCTCCGGATACTCCGGCTTCTTCCCCAGTGGCGGATCCAGAGACCTATCTGGGGGGGTTTCCAAATTTCCTGGGGGTGTTTCCATGTGGATAAAAATTGAGGAAAATGGTGAAAATACATGATTTTTAAAGAAAATTCTAAGGGTGGGGTGGGGTGGGNGTTCCTGAAGCCCAAAAAACCCCTCTGGATCCGCCACTGTTCCCTCATTAAGAATTAAATCCTCTGCGTGCTTCCGTCAGGTCACAAAAAGAATGATTCAAATAAGTTGGGGAAAAAACTGTTTTGTAATTGCTATAGAAAAAAGTGCATATTATATATTTGCCGATAAGTCTATAAAAGTAAATGTATAGAGATGTTAGTTAAAAACATGAAATGAAAAAAGAAAACATTGTATTACTATGATGTAACTGAGATTGTCGTTATATCCTGAAACACGGATTGAATTTCAAGTTTTGTAACTGTCACTGAGGTTTGCTAGGTAATGATGCCAATTAAAATTAAACAGTTTATGTCTGTATAACTAGTTATAGATCGGCATGCGTTGTGAAAAAAGTGATACGTTGCTAAAAAATGGCGTTGAACTCGGGTTCGTTGTCTGGACAATTATTGTTGATTTTGACATAAATGAATAATCCATTGTTTCTTTTATGAGTGTTGATGCATACATAAATTATGTAAAGACTATAACCAGACTTTCAAAAAAAAAAATCGAAATCAAAAGCTGATGAAATTTTAGACGATGAAAAATAAATGTTCACGTTGACCTATTGGTTTAATGCGGCTCTTTTCAAAAATATATCCCGGTAGAAATTTTAACAGAACATGGTTGATGACAAAAAGGATCTTCAGACAACTTCCCCGTTTTTACTTTTTGTGCCTGTGGCAAAAACTGAAATTAAAAAAGTCATGAAGCATCGAAAAGAGATAAATGCAACGGCTATCAGTTCCAAGATTTCCCGGTTATTTTTCATCCTTCCGGAAATAACCGATGAAGGCCGATGGAGTGTGACGTCATAGTAAGATAATCCCTGAACGACGTCTCATGCCTGCTAATATCAAAATTTATGTAATAGATTTTTTTTCACTCAGAATGTATATTAGCTTTTTACCTAAATAAATAAGTAATAAAACATGGGTATTGTTTTCACTATATGAAGATGTTCATGTATGGGTTGAAACACAATTGTCTTTGCTTCAAGGATACACTTCCCGTTTCCCCACTGGACGTCTATTCCGTCTTTGCGTATTGCAGAGTTGTCTTCTCTTGGGAGCAGGGATTGATTGTTACGTCATTGGTTTGTGTGAGAAAATTACGTCGTTTTCCCAAAAATTGATGACGTTACTCTCACAAACAAGTGACGTAACAATCAATACCTGCTCCCAAGAAAAGATAACTCTGCAATACGCAAAGACGGAATAGCTACTTCCGGACGATTTTTTTTAAAGGCAAGGTGTAGAAAGGGGAAGCAACTCTGTTTACGCACGCATGTGTTACCATTAAAGAGCTTCGCTCGGACGCTCGGCGCCCGAGAGCTACGCTCTTATAATTTATTTATTTTAAAAGGCATAATCACTTTGATCCTGTAGAGCGTTGTCCTCCTAGAAACAAATCGGAACTCTTTGCAAAGGGATAAAAGGGACTACTTCCAACTGTGTTAAAATAACATAGGAACGGTCAGCCTTCCGCCTCATAACTTTTGTTTCAGAAGTACTACAAGATTTATGCTGCTGTTTGAACTCTTTTCAATCCTTTATACATCTGATGTTATTAATTTGAATCACTCTACTAATTATTTAGTTGACTAATTAAACTAATTACAGCATGTAGGTCGGAAAATGGAATATCAGCCTGAAAGAATTTTTCTGAAAAAAAGTCGTATTTTTTTGCATTGTAATACTTATGAAAGAACATTTTCTTTCATGTAGTGCTTTAATAAGAGCGGAGCTCTTTACCGGTAACATGTGCGTGTAAATAGATCTGATCCAACCAAACTGATTCCATCACTGAATCGTACAGCTACAGCCTAGAAACTTTTCGTACTTCCGGTGATCTCTTCCGGTCTATGGAGCCCGTAAATAAGCCTAATCAAATAATAGAGCGAATTGTAACGTAGCAGGAAAATTATGTTTTCGAAACAACGAATTTAAAAAAAAATATTGACCATATTCAATACACTGGGCGTGTTTATTTCCACGATTCCTTTCTTTTTGGATCGAAAACAGAAATGATTGGCATGGTCAACAAAAAGCTTACATAAATGTCATAAGCAAGTGCGTAAGAATGTGATTAGATGACAAACTGTATTACCGTCGATTAAAGTAGCTTATATTTTGTAAAGAAATAGATAATTTGATACTGACAACTTTCTAAACATCTAAATATTGATAATCGATCGTAACACACAAGGGTCATTTCCACTAGGACGGAAATACCCGAGCATGTACGAAGCAGGGTCAATGACGAGGCCGCCTGGTTCTCATTGGATATGAAAAGGTCTGGTCATTGACGAGGTCAAAGTTCATGGGTCGTCTGCTCCAGTTCCAAGGGAAAACGTGAGGTGTTTCAAATGGTCAAATTGCGGATTTTTCAGTATCACTACTCTTGGTTTTTTTCTGCATTTATTTTAGAACGTCAACTTTATATAGTTTTTCTAAATTCTTCCATTTGGGGGTCATTTCTGTTGATATTTGATCCAAATTTGTGATATTACCTTTAGATTTTCCAACTAAAAATGGAATTGCAACAAAATTAACAATTACTTGAAAAAGACAAACATTATCTGTACAGTTTTGTACAGTACAATATCTTATTTGATACGCTTGACAATTTGTAAATTCCGTTCAACTGTGTAAATAATTACAGCATTTTGATTAGACATTGAAGTGAACACATTAGTTTGCTCTGCTTTATAAATATCAGCAAAGAAGAGAATTAGAAACATTATATTTTCACCACTTTTATTTTTGTTAACAGATTGCATAATATGCGACCGTCAGCAACCATTTTTAATCAAATTCAAAACTATTCCGCATATGATGTACCTGGTCATGATAGCAATTGTTTTTACTCAACCACATTTAACAACAATATTGCTCAAGAACACCAAGTCCATCCTGAAACCGACATCAATTCCATCAAGTTAACACAATCATCACTGAACTAATCACAACACACACTCTTTGACCCTCAAATTTGACAATGACATTAGAAGGGTTTCAATCAAACATCGAGGAAAACATGGTCAAAATCGCAAATAAAATCACAAGGTATGATGACACAAAGTTATACGATGGTGTCCATCCAGAAACTTCACTTACAAACAAATGTTTTTGGCTGCTATATGCCAATCTATCTCTAGGTATCTACAAAACTTTATGACAACAGCGACAATGAA